AGTTTAAAACGTTGTTTATTGGATGCAGTTCTACCGTCCCTTGTTGCCACAACGTAGATTATCATCCTCTCTTATTAGCAAACACGAGTATGACCTTTCACCAATTTATGCCGAATTACCTAAAGATTCAAAAGCTTTACCGAAAATCGCGAATGTGATTGTGGCTACCATGAAGCATGAAATAACGGCTTTGGAGGAGGCAAGACGACAGGAACTGAAGGCTGATATAAAGGCTTTGGAGGAGGCAAGACGACAGGAACTGAAGGCTGAAATAAAGGCTTTGGAGGAGGCAAGGCGACGTGAAATAAAGGCTTGGGAGGAGGAAAGACGACAAGAAACGATCAACATAATTGAAAAAAAAGAACGAGAAAGGAAGGAGATAATACAGGAAATATCGGATTTAAGGATCCATATGAAGGGTCTTGAGATTGATGTCAAAAAGCGCACTGAGCTTCTTTTACTATCAACAAAGATGTGTAATGTGAGAGGTGCTTTAGAGTTTATCAGAGCAAAGGTAGCGTTCTGCATATTTGCTTATATATTTTGCAATGATTTTTGTTTACATATTTTTTCTCTCGATAGATTCCGTCACAGGACAAGACTGTCGTGTTTCACGAATCTGTAGACAATGTTTTGATGAAGCTGACTCAAGATGCAAAGTTTATATCATATTTAAAGCGAACATGCTCACTTAATAATTTTCAATACAAGGATGTCGAAAAATGCATGGGTGGTCTCTATCACACTGCATCAAAACAGTTGCACGGTCACGAAACTGATATTGGAATTGATGCGCGGGACTGGACTGTGAATGAAGTATTAGCATTAGGTGTTCTTTTTTATTATTATAATATTCCGTACCTTTATTACAATGAAGACGGGAAATTAACTGACTACCCTTATAAGTTAGCTGATCTATTCTGATAATGAGGTCTTTTCATAATATTAGAAATTTTTTATGTTTGAATGTTATTTTTTTAAACGTATGCTAAGATTTGCTTATTTGCTATAATTCTAAACTTAAACGTGATAAATAAATTTAATAGTAATAGGGCGAGGTAGCCAACTGATTATGATTTTATTGATTCTTACAATACGTTTTCCAAACGCATGTCTACCGTAATCTCAATTGCAAATGAGGACAGTGTGGAAGACGTTCTCGGCGGTCTAAATGCAGCTGTCTGTGCCTCCTTAAATGACGTAAAAAACACAATCTTCGTCACTCGAATGACTTGCATTTCGCATTCCTCAAATCACTTAAATGACATATTAATATAGAATACTAGAACCATGGCTTTCACTGACTCAAATGATGTGGCAAACAAAAAAACATACATCATTTGAGTGATGCAAGTCTTGGAGAATGCAAAATTCACGTCACTTGGTTTAGGTTCTGGTCTGCTTAAAGTGACGCGAATTTTACATTTCTCAAGTCACTCAAATGATGTGGAGAATGTAAAATTCACATCACTTGGTTTAGATTATGATCAATTGAAGTGACAAAATGGACCGATGATTACTTAGCAAGAAATCTGTACATATTGGCTGAAGACCCCGTACTTGATGCGCATGTCACACGCAGTTACGGCTTGACGAAAATATCCTGATGGGTTTCAATTCCTACAACGAACAGTCCTTTGCCACACTCTATATTACGCACGTACGACAAGTTTGCTACAACTCACGGACAAGTCCTCTAACGATACGGCACGGTTTATCAATAACTATTAGAGTGGTTTAACCGAATACAAAGCTGCAACTGTGGTTGTTCAAAAATGATTCCGAGAGAGAAGTTTGGTGAAACATTTAAGCTCTCTCTAGATCTGAGCAAGATATAACCCAACTGAACACAATGAATGACGGGGAAATAACCGCCAGCCGACGTCTTAAAAAAGCGTACTGAGATCGCAATACGCCGGCGCGTAGTTATTATATCTTAAAAACCTTTTGACCATTGTTATTCTCGATATGGCTTCTGCTCCACATGTGGAATATTTTGGTGTGGTGCATTTGTGGTTATAAACAATTATCCGCTGGGTGGACTACGCCACCGCCACGTTGGCTTTGCCCTTTTCCAAAAAAAGGGAGAAGCATAGATCCCGGTTATTTCTTTACCTGCTATTATGTCAGAACGGTTAAAAAAAAAAGCCCGCCGCTTTGTCAGAAAACGTATTTCAATATGTTGAGAATTGGTCGTACTCATTTCAGAAATCGCTTGGCGACGAATAGAAATGAAGACCTTAATGCGTGAAATGATGAATTAAAAAAAAAAAGAACGGGTATAATACTGCGTGTTCATGGTAATATAATTTTTCATATTAATATACGGGTAATCCTGTATGTAGAGCATGTCAATGTCGTGATCGGTGGAAGTTAAAGTGGTAAAACGCGTGTTTCCTTTTTTTTTCCAACTCGATGGATTTTTACAAAAGTAGAGCAGTTGAAGACTGGACTTGCAAAAACCTTGTGGAGTTTTATCGTATTTCTTCAGGACAAAAAGACCGAAAAAAATACTGGATAGCATAAACAAAGATCTTAAAAAGGTCAGAGAAGCGGACTCTGAATTTGACGTAAGAGAAAAGCTCATAGAATCATTGACGACTGGAAAGTATGGGGTTTTCTTAATAAGATAGAGATTTACAAGTTAGGGAAAAGCTGTGACTCTTAGTCTACAGTGATAAACTCTCAGTTTGACGCTTGTATTATGTTTATTGTACACAGTGAACCTGGATATAACGAAGTGGTCCGTTCTGCCCTTTTTCTTCGTTATAGCAGGTTTCCGTTGTATCCAGGAAATTTTATTAAACAAAATTCGGGGCATCAAAAAATAACATCAGTACCGCTAATTGTACATACTATGATGGCAATGATGCAGAGTTTCGTCAGATAGGCTTCTAACCTGAAAATTTTATAAGGAAAAGGCACGAGTGTAACGTTTTTCGATAACAAGTGCTCGCGACGGGTAATACTGTGTCTATTGATAATATCGATAATCGTTGTATAACTGGAAAACATCGCCGAGATGATAGAGAGTCAACAGCACGAAAAAGATGAGGCCACTAAAATAACCTACTAATAGTATTAAAATAAGGGAAAGATTTGCTGATACGCCAGTAGTTTACCTCGATATTCTTTGTATTACCAAAAATTTTTACAATATAAAAAAATGATCCACGTTACATTTTGAAAGTACAAGTCCAATATGAGAAATACCAATAGACTCCGAACAATGAATCGTGCGAAATCGGCAAGTGTATCCAAGTTAACGAAATTATTTGCCAGTTTTTATATGGGGCTCGGACGACGCAACGTCGAGGAGACATGGGAAGCTTACACTCAATTACGACATTCAAACATCAAACTTACTCGGACAAAATTTAGACACGTAATAAAGTTAATTGTTGAGCAACCAACTCGATCAAGAAAGTTTCTCAATTATCTACTAGATATTTATTCAGACATGAAATCCCGCCGAATTCCTCTTCGCAAATACGACTTTAACTGCATTCTCTCCTTTACGACCAGTTTCTATCCGCATATGACTCTTCTTGACATCGAAATCGTCATGGCCGTTCTTCATCTGACGGAGAGCGCAAAGATCACGCCCAATCATGTATCGTATAATATCTTGGTCGACATCGCAGCTCATCTACCTTCGCCAGCGGCCGAGTTTCTGGCAGAGAGACTACCATCCGGATTACAACCCAATGTTAAAAGGCTTACTTCGATTACACACGCTTATGCGATGAAAAACGATCTGGCTGGAGTTGTAAAGATGGTAGAAACGATCATGAAAGAGAAAATGAGTATTGATGTTTATGTGTTGAATACTGTCATATGGGCTTTCGTGGGAGGGAATGACCTTGAGTCGGGTGTTATGATTTATAGGACAATGATTAATGACGAAGTAGGAAAGGCCAAGAGGAAAAAGAATAACAAGTTTACGCCTACCTTGCCAACATTTCACATCCTCTTGTCTGCATGTCTCTCGCAACAGCGTTGGAAGCTGGGGATATTGATCTATCGAGACATGAAGTCGCTCGATGTGGAGCCGGATATCCAATTATTTAATATTATACTTAAGCATGTAGTCAAGGCTTTGTATCTTGCCGATAGCGTGAACTTAAAACATAAAGACACAAAGCAGCGGAAATACAAATCGGAAAATATCTCTCAGATTTGTCAGAGACAAGCATTAAAAAAAGGCATACGACTCTTGTTTGATTATTTTCTGAATGAAATAAAACATTACGAGAACGTTAAACCAGATTTTAAGACACATAACCTAAGATTGCAGGCACATTTATTATTGGCAGAGATAAAAGAGGCAAATGACGTTCTACGCGTTATGGAAAGCGCATCAATGCCTATAGACATTTATAACACGTGGTTATTGCGACAATTACAAATAAATACTCGAAAGCAGTAATTAAAAAACTAAAATGCCAAAAAAAATGCCTTTTATTATTAGCTTTTGTGTTTATTATTGTTCGCAATATCAGTAATGCTATTAACCGCTGCAACTTTTCAAATATAAAGCCTGTAGTCGCATGCAAACTCTTCAATATCGTCTCATATTGAGTTCGTTTGCCCGTTCAGGATAGTTGCGTTGGAATTCAAGTTGTGCCTTTGCAATCTGTAAAAAAAAAATAAATAATAAACCCATAATTAGCGAATTGACAATGCGAAAGATATAGAACGGGGTTCATGACTTTAGAAAAAGTCGCGGCCAACTTCAAGTCTTACGGAAAATAGCGACTCGAGAAAAAAATCATAAACAATGTCCTCCGCTATCAATCAACATACTGACCTCTACATATTGTAAGGCCGCAGCAAGTTCATCTTCAGTTCTCGCCAAATCTACGGCTCTTATCATATACGTAAGCGCCTCTTCGACTTTATTTTGCGTATGAAAAATTTGACTCATTGCATTGAGTGCAACATCGCTCTCGGGATCGACTAGTAATAATATAAAAGTAACCTGATAAACAACTATATTTACGTATACACGTACACTACAGTATATATTTACATACTTTCCAATGCCTTGTGACAAAACTCTTCCGCTTGAGCAGGATCTTGCTTTTGGAGACATAACAAAGCCTTATTGACGTATGGAGCTGCATCATCGGCGCCCAACGATATTGCTTTCTCAAAGTGTGCTAGCGCATCGTCAAAGCGTTGTAAATCGTAACACAATTCTCCGAGAAAATTATGAATATCGGGAGATTCACCAAATTTCTCCAGACACTTTTCGAGTATGCTATAGCCGTCCTCGATTAAACCAAGTCGGTATTTTGCCAAGCCCAGTTGAACGTGCGTATATAAATACTTATCATAAAGTTGGATGCTCTTTTCGTAGTCCTTGATGGCGTCCTCGAGTTTATTAGTCACAAAGTTAACTGCAAGTGCGCAAATAAGAAATAGTTGGAAGAAAATTTTGTATTAGACTATTGAAATCATCACATCGGGAAGTTGATTCGTTTATGAATATTTTGGAATGATACCTTGGCCCCTTCATTGTTGTTACCATGTTTTTTACACGCAAACATAAATATATGATTATTATGCGCTTGAAACAAGATTACAAGCACGCCTTGTTCGTGTTTATCCTACCTGTGATAGTATATGTCTGGATTGTTGGGATCTTTGCGTATTGCCGTCTCGAATTCTGAATTTGCTTCTTCGACTTTGTCTAAACACAAGTAGATTGTCAGCTGGGAACGTATTCGGGATACGGTAAAATTTTCTTGTCAAACCGGGGAACGTTTCCAAACTCACTTTGCTCCATGTATATAGTAGCCTTCTTCAAGTGAGCTCTAGTCAAATCTGGTTTCAGTTCAAGTGCTTTGTTCAGATCTGCCAACGCTTTATCGGTGCACGCACACAAAAAGTAGAATGATCCTCTGTATTCATAAGCCTCAGCCATGTGCGAACAGCCTAATTCGACAGCTTTATCAAAAGCTTCCATGGCCTCCTGCCACTTGTGTTGTCGTACGTATTGCATTGCTTTCTCATAATGTTCTTCGCCTTTGTTCTCGGAATCCAAAGATATTTCGCCGTTCGTACTTTTATCGGCGCGTCGACGTTTGTCTGCTAATAAATGAATCAAAAAATGAAACATGCACAGATTGAATATCACATTGATACGTAACATTGTATACGGAAACAACGCAACATTCATTAATGCAAATATCAAATGAATAAATGCAAATACTGTTTAAATCAACCTATCCCATAGGCATCAAAATATCTCGTAACATATTTGGATGATGGTAGACGACTCGGTCGATTCTACAGTGAATGACAGGACAGATTCTTGGGTAAATAATTGATACACTCACGTTCTCCCCCTCTCCCCCCCTCCCTCCTTCCCAAACCTAGCAAATTTGATAAATAGTTACCACCATCATTTCACGTGCTTCTTCCTGAGCAACCAACTTTGATAGCCTTTCGATAGCTTCTGCTGAACTATCAGTTTTAAAGTTTTCGATGATGCATGAAGCGGTGTAGTCTGCATAGCAAGTTCGGACATGTTTAACTTTGGGGCTACGAACTATGCGTAAATTAATACCGAGAATGTATGATCATACCGTTCAAAGCTATACGATGCTGTTTTGTAAGCTCATAAGCAGATGCGCGTCTGTTCAAAGCCTTTATGTAATGTTTATCAATAACCAATGCTTCGTTACAGTCATTTATTGTCTTTTCATATTGTTTGGTGTGAAAATAACATGCTGCACGATTACTGTAATATATAGCGTCTTTGTTGAAAGCCAGCGCAGCTGTATACAGGTCAATGGCTTTGCCGTATTGTTTGGCTCCAAACGCTGAATTGCCGCGGTTTTTTAACGACTGTGCGGCGTCAATGCGTTTCTATGTATAATATTGAGATCAAATTCGGTTAACCAAAATTATTTTCCTCAGAGGGTGGTCATGATGAATTCAGAACAAACCTCCGCTGGCAAAGCTTCTATTTGTTCGGCAGTAAATTTTTCGTATTCTACAACATCTTCTTTATTTTTTACTTGTAAGATCGATAAAAGATAGATGAATATATAGAATGCAAAGATTAAACACGGTTTGGAATGAAACAATACCAGATCGTGGCTCTGATTTTTTAACTCCGGCTCCTTGATGCCTTTTCTTTGCTGTTCGCTTCTTTTTCTTTGACTTTGGTGAGGTCGAAAAGTAGTAAACTCCAGCACCAACTAATGCAATAGTGGCAGACAGACACAGATAGAATTTGTAGTCTTTGTTCGATAAATATGTTTTTAATGACTGAACTGCTCCAGTATTTTGTGAAGCAGACGGGCCAGTCGCGACTTCCGCATTCCCATTTGTCGAATAGTTACTAGACTGTACTGACATGAGAGCAGTATGGGACTTAATAGGCTAGGTTTGTTTTTAAAACTGGGAAGAATGTTTCTTCCCTTTCGCAACGGTTTGTTGCTTGATTTGGAGATGTGACACAATTGCATCAACATTAAAAAATTTATAAATGCGTGACACCTTCATATCTGGATGTGTGACATATCGCCGGATTATGATATTAATATGGTATTTATCGTGGGAGCTGATGCTGAAATCCGGCTGAAGCTGAAACTAACCAATGGGGTTGATTGATCAACCAATGAAAAATCATTAAACGGTTTAAATTTGACCATTATAGTTATTTTGTCCTACTTGGTTGAGGAGCAACAAGATCAAGAATGTATTAACAAAGACTAATCATACACTGCGGAAAGGTAAATCAGTACATCAGGTGATTTAAAATGTTGACTAATAAGATTAAAGTATTGGGGTTAACAGCTTAAACTGGCACCTTGCTGTGAATAAAAGTTCCTCGCGATCTAAAGTATTGGGTTGTTCTTATATGAAAACGGGGGAAATACGTGTATAACATATACGAAGTAAAAGTTTGATGCGCAATCAGCTCTATTATCTCAGAAGATTGACTTGTTGGCAAATTGCTTCGACAGTGGAAAGTGAGACACATACGAAATTGGAATAGTGCATGTTGGAAACATAATCTTGTGCACAAATTCTGGTATTTGGGGAAATTCTATACTAACAAGAATTACCATTACTGTTAACGCAAAATCTTACTATGCGAAATAAAACCCAATGCTTTTGTCAATGTTGATGGTTTAAATATGCAAGCGGACAAGAAATACGGCAAATTGTAATAATCAATGTTTTAATAATTTAACTTTACAGTTGAATGCAAAACTCGTTATTCATAAATGTTTTAACATCAACAATTTAAACGTAAGAAAGTTTTGGTGAGAATCATGTTCTTTCGAAACAAGAAACTGTATCAATTTCACGCAATTCAAAGTTTACATTAGAATAGTTTGTCATTCTGTTAAACTGTTTATTGAACTATTATTAATACATTCATATAAGTAAGCTTTTACAAAAAGCTTTTCGTGTATCTACTATAATTTTTTTTGTCGCATTTCGATTAATTAGTCAAAGATTGCGAATATTAATTAAAATAACAATCAAGACACTATATCATCATCCAGAATTACCAGCCATGTAAACCGCTACCCATTATTTCAAACCTCGAAACATCAGTCGAACAATACTTTACAGGAAATTATGTACAAAATTGTGAGCAAAACGTTTGTTTCTTCGTTGATGGCCAACAAATGCCGGCGAATAAAGTAAGTTACTGTGTTACCAGCGATATTAGTATCACCACAGATAACATCCATTTTTGTTAGTTCACAGATAACACTCGAGCAGACGCCCATATTATCTTCAAGTTTGTTGCAAGTACGTTATTGTTGCCGTCAAGGAGGCGGCGAGCGGCTTCTGTAGGTATAGATGTAGCGTTTTTGGTGGCCAAGTTTATTACAAAACCTAATGTTTTGAATAGAAAAAGTAAACTACGTGAGAAAAGAGAAAAGCCGAGAATAACGACAACCCGAGCATAGTAAACACTGTTTTTACTTACGTATATACCATAAAGCGTACGATAAAACAATGAGAAAAAGCATCGTTTGGAAAAGAGGTTTAGCGTAGAATACCAAGTAAAGTGGTAACATATCTGTTATGAGATATAAAAGTGGTCGATAATTAGCTTAATTATTTAGCGGCTGTTATTATTCGTACTTGAACTTTCTAGATACCAAACATCAATTCTCTTCTTGCGTTACTTACTTGATGGAAAAGCAATGATCATTGTGAACGATTAAAGTGAAAAGGTTTCGAATGATAAAGTGTTATAAAACCAAGAGTTCTTTTTTTTTTACTCGTCAATGCAGAATTGCAGTTTAAGTTGTCAAGTCTTGTCAAAAGGCTTTTTGCTTTGATGGTTAGACATCACTGAAACGAGTTGATATTTATATAATTCAATATATCCACTATAGCTTCAATGTAATTGGTTGAATTTTTGCTATTGTGTCATGGCGGCTATTGTTCACAATTGTGATAATCCATTTTCGACATTATACAATGTGTAATACAATGTCGATGGTATTGTTGCGTCCGCTACTACAATACATACAATTTTGTGTCATCACAAAATCCATTGTTTTGGACAGATTATTTGATGCATCGGGCAACGAGTGCCCTAAATGGCTTGACACAACAATAGAATATGTCGACAATGGTATATTATTATGAGATCGGAGGCTTTTCATAGGTCGAGAAATAGTAAATAACTTTACATTTGGAGTCATAATAAGTGACGCAACCAGCATTGATTAACGATTGAGACATAATGTATGCTGTGATCAAGTTACATGACGGTAACTTGATTAAAAGAGGTATCAATATTATTGCTTTGTTTCTCCTATTTGACAATTTGACCGAATAATCTGTTCCGTATCGGTGACATATTGTTTATCAATATTGTTTTCTTCTCTGATTCGAAAATATCTGTCGACAATTTTGGTTGGTTATTAAATTAAAATACATTCAGCTTTAGATATGGTCAATAAACAAGTTTGATCGACCCAATATCGAGATTAATTGCACTCTTTCTGGATTATTGTTTATGTATTGTTTGTGCGTAAAAATGTCAAACTCATACAGTCATTGGAACGAGATCTCGGCGGCGATAATTTATCTTCTTATGACGTGGCACCGATTTGTAATGATGTCATAGAACGGCTCAGTTTCCACTGCTGTTTTAATTTTGGATCTTCTTTTGGTAATGCAAAACGATTAACAGGAGTCATTGCAACGTGACATTATGATTTTTAATAAACCTTTGCTCGCAAACAATTCGCAATTGTTGTAAAGGTTTGATAATAGATGGCAAGATTAATGACTTGTATTGGCAAGTATCATTCGGGTATTATTCAACAAGAAAGGTATCATATTGTGTGCAGGCGCAACACTCATTGAAAGAAAGAAATTGTTTGATTAATTTGTTATATGAAGCTATTATAATCTAATTTAATTCTCTCATTAATTCGTTAGGTTAATCCCATAATACAAACGGGTAATTTATGGTATTGATTTTCTCAATTTGGCTAATGGGCGATGCATTCGACTATGACATCTACAGCATGTATTTGTTATACATTCCTCAGACGGAACTCTTTGGCTTTAAACAATACGATCAACAATCGAACCTGAATGATATTTTCTGGTATAGAAGTACATAACCGGTAAGTTCTTTTTGCATATTAATATGTCATATTCGTATGCTTGACATGTTGGATTAGATAATATGCCGAGTTTACGATTCTGTTCACAATACCACCAATCATCAAGCGCCTGTATATACCACTGTCGGCCTGTCAAGTCACACTTACTATAATTAAAATATTAATTTTAGCATAAACGATGCGAAAATGTAACAAAGCCAAATACCAATCGTTTATTATCTCCTTATGGTACACTGGATTTCGTGCAGAAGGAGTTGCTTGCCTCGCTTGAGTTGATTCGTAAGACTTGAAACATAGAAGATTGGTCCATCATACTATACGCCTTTTGTATGGCTGGCTAACACAATTTGTTTTACTAACATCACATTTGGCTTTTTGAAAATAGTACTGAAGTAGGATTTTAGTTCTTGCTTAGAACTACACTACATAGTTTGTTCGGTGGTAGATTAAAATTTAATAGACGAACAAAAAAAGAATTCACAAAGACAACAAAACAGTAAACCGTGTCTTTGAAAGTATTTCAATGCTAACTACAACAAAGGTGCTATGGACGTGAATATCGGTAATGATAAGTAAACGTCCAGCATCATCAATTTTATGTACAAAATACAAGTTCAAAAAATGCGTCCCCGTGATTATATAACTTTTGGTCAAATTCCATCGCTAAAACGCGCAAATATAAATATGATGGTGAGATATTGTAGTAATAACGTTATGTTGACTAATTTCTAATTTTTTTACATTGACTCTCTTCTTTATATTCTCCACGCACTTTTTTTCATGTTTGCACTTTCTACACTCGTCTCCCTTGTTGAAGAGTTTGTCTATAACGAACAACCAGATTATTGAATAATACCTTTTGTGTAAGTAATAGAAACAAATGCCTTTATAATCTATACCATAATTGGAAACCATTTGGCCGATTGCTCTATACAATCTGTCGGACTTTTACTAACGACGAATTCAAGTGCAGTTTTTCGTATTAGCGATCCAGCGCTTTCTTTCAGATTGTGTATTTGTTTAAAGAAAGCGAATTAGTGCTACGAAAACAAATTTCTTGATTTTAATGTGTATTTAATGTAGGCCAATCTTAAACATGACGTAATGTTCATGGTTCTACATTAGAAAATTGCAGCCTTTTCCTTATATATGAGCTGGCACGTGAAGCATACGGCTTTACTGTAACGTTTGAGCAAGTCTGCATTCCTGATTATTTTATTTTTGATTGAAACGTATACAGTAGCCTGTTAATAATCTAAAGTCAAACGGCATTCTTTATTAATGCGTTTAACGCAGAGTTATGTTTGGTAAAGACAATTTCAAATTTACAGTATACCAAAAAAAGAAACTAAAATTTACTGTACGTTCCGTGAACGCGTTATACAAATTCTGAATAATTGTAAACTAATCAAGCGTGTCATACATAACTGTCTCCCGCATGTCGTATATACAATTAATCCAATAGCATACTTTCTTGGTCGTAAAGACAAAAGTGTACATAGTGTGGTCAAAACGAGAATAGAGACTGTGGGACTTACAGTAATTGTTAGGACCAGCCAGTTTCAGAAAAACGTAATGGTACAATAATGAACAAGCTATCTTAACTGTCAACAAATACAAATGTATTAGATATTAATAAAATCGGCATTGTGTTTGATATTGGTAGTCTAGCAGCGCGTAGAGTTTTCGTTCTCATTAAACGGCTTTGATGTGCTTAATCTTACACTTATTAATAAATTAAAC